TATTCCCAAGGATTTCCCTCTATTCCCGAGGATTTTCCCTCTATTCCCAAGGATTTTCCCTCTATTCCCGAGGATTCTCCTCTAATTCCCGAATCCCCTCCGCTCTCAGATCCGGGAGGAGGAGCCGGATCCCTTCCCGAGCTTTTCCCGCTCTGTATTCCCGCTTTTCCAGCCTCATCCCGCCGCTCTCTTTCCGCTTTTTCCTTTTCCAGCTTTCCTCGGCTCCCTCTGGAAGCGCCGCGGCCGCGCCCCCGCCCCTCCTGCGGGGCCCTCAGGCTGCTCCCGCTGGGAAAACTTCCCTCCAGGTCAGTGGGAGCCGGGAAAATCCCGGGAAAATCCGGGAAGTGCCCAGCTCCCACGGGTTTTAGGGATAAGGGAAAAGGGGGGGATGGGAGAGAGGGGGATCGATGATCCCGGTGCTGCCTTTGGAAAAGGGGGAATTGGCTCTGGAATTGTTGAGGGAATCCTGGGATTCGATGGGATGGAATTCCTGGATTTCCTCTGGAATTGCTGAGGGAATTCCTGGATTTCCTCTGGAATTGTTATGGGAATTCCTGGATTTCCTCTGGAATTGTTCAGGGAATTCCTGGATTTCCTCTGGAATTGCTGAGGGAATTCCTGGATTTCCTCTGGAATTGTTATGGGAATTCCTGGATTTCCTCTGGAATTGTTCAGGGAATTCCTGGATTTCCTCTGGAATTGCTGAGGGAATTCCTGGATTTCCTCTGGAATTGTTATGGGAATTCCTGGATTTCCTCTGGAATTGTTCAGGGAATTCCTGGATTTCCTCTGGAATTGCTGAGGGAATTCCTGGATTTCCTCTGGAATTGTTATGGGAATTCCTGGATTTCCTCTGGAATTGTTCAGGGAATTCCTGGATTTCCTCTGGAATTGCTGAGGGAATTCCTGGATTTCCTCTGGAATTGTTATGGGAATTCCTGGATTTCCTCTGGAATTGTTCAGGGAATTCCTGGATTTCCTCTGGAATTGCTGAGGGAAT